ACCTGCAGGCTCAGGCAATCCACTCACCTCAGCCTCCCAAAGGCGCGGGATTACAGGCTGAGCCACCGAGCCTGGCTTACAATTAATTTTTTTAAAAGTGCAGTGGTGCAATCACATCTAACTGCAGCCTCAAACTCCTGGGTTCAAACGATCCCCTCACCTCAGCCTCCTGAGCAACTGGGACTATAAGCATGCACCACCACAACTGGCTCAATTTTTAATTTTTTATAGAGATAGAATATTGTTATGCTGCCCAGGCTGGTCTTAAACCCCTGGCCTGAAGTGATCCTCCTGCCTCGGTCTCTCAAAATGCTGGGATTATAGGAGTGAGTCACTGTGCCTGGCCAAGTCGTTTTTAATACCAACCTTTTTTATTCCTTAGATTTAGTCCATCTCCAATTCCTGTTGCCTTTATCTCTTAACTATCTACCAATTTATTTCACTTATCTTTTTTTTTTTGAGTCAGAGTCTCACTCTGTCACCCAGGCTGGAGTGCAGTGGCTCACTCACAGCCACCCCAGCATCGACCTGCTGGGCTTGAGTGATCCTTCTGCCTCAGCCTTCCAAGTAGCCGGAACTACAGGCGTGTGCTACCACACCCAGCTAATTTTTTGATACATTGTGGAGATGAGGTCTCACCAAGTTGCCCAGGTTAATCTCAAACCCCTGGGTTTAGGCAATCCTCTCTCTCGGCCTCCCAAAGTGCTGGGATTACAGTCTTGAGCCATTGCACCCGACCTATTTTAGTTATCTTAATCTCCACAGTCACCATCCTAGTTCAACCTACCATTATTTTTCCTTTGGTTTACTGCAGCAATCTTCTGCTAAACTCCTTGCATCTACTGTAGGCTACCCTCAAATTGATACCGCAGCCAAAGTCATTTTTCCTAAATACTTTTTTGATATCACATTCTTGCTTTAGGAAACTATTTATAGAGTTTGCGAAAATGAAAAAGTTCTGAAAATGACTGGTGGTGATAACTGCACACCAATGTGAATGTACTTAATACTACTAAACTGTATACTTTAAAATGCTGAAAATGGTACATTTTGTTTTATGTATATTTTATCACAATAAATAAATAATGAAAAACACATATCATTCAATGGCGTACCATGATGCTTAGAGTCCAAATCCTCAGCATAGCCCACGAAGTCCTGCCCTACTTTCTTTAGGATCATTTCACACAGCTTCCTACACTTTCCTGTATCATTCTTTCCTCCCATTACCCTGTGCCTATGTATATGCACCTTCCATAATTTTCTAATTTACCTAACTAATTTCACCTAATTCATTCCCACTCAACCTTTAGATACGAGGTCAAACATTACTTTCTCAGGGAAACTGTACTCTGATCCTCTAGCAGTCTGAGTGTTTTATTACATATTCTTACAGAAACAGGTTTCCTTTCTTAAAAGCACTCTCTCAGTTTGCAATCATTTATTATTAACACAGATATCTAATTAAATTCTGCCTATCCACAAGAAGACTGTAAATACTACAAGATCAAGAACTATGTCTTTTTTTGCCTACAAACTAGCATATGCCTGGCACATGTAAGTGCTCAAAAATACTTACTAAATACATGAATACAGGTCTACCTTATTCTTTTTTTAATAACTGCAAAGAATTCCATTTAACAGATGTCATGGTTTCTTTAATTCTAAAATGATGAGCATTTAAATTGTTTCCAGATTAATGTTAGGATGATCACTTATGCTAATATATCTAAAAATGTACTTAAATGCAATTCTTTTTTTTTTATTTTTTATTTTTTGAGTTGGAGTCTCACTCTGTCGCCCAGACTGGAGTGCAGTGGCCGCTCCCGGCCACCGCAGACTCGACCTGCTGGGCTCCGGCGATCTTTCTGCCGGAGATCCTTCTCCGGCGATCCTTCAGCCTTCTGAGTAGCCGGAATTACAGGCATGTGCTACCAAGCCCGTCTGATTTTTTGATTTATTGTAGAGATGAGGTCTCGCTGCCCAGGCGGGTCTCGAACCCACGGGCTCAGGCAATCCACTCACCTCAGCCTCCCAAAGGTGCGGGATTACAGACTGAGCCACCGAGCCCGGCTAAATGCAATTCTAAATGTAAAACTGCTAGTCAAACAAAAAGTACATTTAAAATTTTAATGGTATTTCCAAACTGCTCTTTTAAGAGGCTGCAATTTATACTCTAAGTAACTAACAGTGTATAACAGTGCCCATTTTTATGTACTTAATACTCAACTTGTATAGCCAAAGTAAGTCAACTGTTTGGGGGGAGGGAGGTGATAGAGGGAAAAAAAATGTTTTTATGAGAGAGGTAAATTTTTTTCATATTTTAATGTCATATTAAACATTTAAAATTAAAATGTTTAAGCTTATTATTCCTATGAAAAGTGTTAGCAAATGTGTTAAGTAAACAGAGCTAAGTGCTTAGGAAAATGCTTATTGACAGGCTGGAAAAATTAGTGTATTTAAAAAGCTATATATTTATCTAACTTGTATATTCTATGAATCACTTTTCCTGTTACACAGAATCTTTTCTCCCTTAAAAGATTTAGCCCAGCTGGGTTCGGTGGCTCAGCCTGTAATCCCGTGCTTTTGGGAGGCTGAGGTGAGTGGATTACCTGATCCCGCGGATTCGAGACCCACCTGGGCAACTTGGTGAGATCTCATCTCCATAATAAATCAAAAAATGAGCCGGGTGTGGTAGCGCACACCTATAGTTCCAGCTACTCGGAAGGCTGAGGCGGAAGGATCACCAGAGCCCAGCAGGTCGAGGCTGCGGTGGCCAGGAGCGGCCACTGCAACTCCAGTGTGGGTGACAGAGTGAGACTCCAACTCATAAAAAAAAAAGATTTAGCCCAAGTTTCAATCAATGATATTGAGGCAGTAAAAAGGGGAGAAAATCATAAGACTATTTAAACTTATAAAAATATACTTAATAAGCTGGGCTTGGTGGCTCAGTCTGTAATCCTAGCACTTTGGGAGGTTGAGGTGAGTGGATTGCCTGAGGCCGCGGGTTCGAGACCTGTCTGGGCAACTTGGAGAGACCTCATCTCTACAATAAGTCAAAAATTAGCCGGGCGTGGTAGCGCATGCCTGTAATTCCGGTTACTTGGAAGGCTGAGGC